GGGGGGGAAGGGGAGGCCTCTACCGCCGGGTGGTGCTGTTGGGGGTGTCAGTATTAGAGTGGGAGTGTAGAACTGGGATGATGGAGGGTGTGGACGTACGAATGGGCATGCCTGGGGCTCCATTGGGAGCTCCGGGGGGAGGGATGCCGAATGGTGGAGGTGGGAGTTGGCCGGGGCGACCTAAACCAGAGTTAGAAGCTAGAGTTCTCTCCAACGAAAAGAGAAGAGGTTTGTCGACGGGTAGGCGTAACGTTCACGTACCAGGGAATCCGAATGGAGGGGGAAAGGCGCCTGGAGGAACCATTGCAGGGTTGGGGACAGCTTGGCCCTCGGCGGCATATGAAGACGTGATCGAGTCAATGACGGATTGTGCCTTTTCCTGTCCAATCTCTGCACCAGTTGTCAGTACCGTGAGCGACAGACTGTGCTTGGGGGGAGGTACTTGTACATACGTTGATAGTATTCCACCACGTTCCTCAAATGATTCCGACCCGCATTGTGTGCCTTGCGCACGCTCATCGAGTCGTGCGTGAGATATACATCGCAGTAGTCACCTGTATACAGAATCCACCATTAGAATCACTGTAGCTGGAACTCAAGTCGTATTGATAGACGATTGCTTTCGGATGCGCAATCGCCTCCGAACCTCGGATATGTTCCAACGGGAAAGAAGACCTACAGAAGAGTACAACGGAGGTCAGCTTGAATTTTCACATAATAGGAAAGAGATACTTATATTTTGGCATCTTCAATTCTGGAAGCGATTGCTTCTGCAATACTGGGGGAGAAGTTCGAATGGGTGGCGCTCAATAGGCGCGTTGCGCGTTGACGAAGATTGTGCGCTGAGTAAACACAGATTTTGCTGATCAAAAGAGCAATTCTCAGATTGCAGTACAACTCTTGTCTTCTATGTCAATACTCCAACTGCAAAGTCGCGAGGTTAATCAAAGCATTGTCGCAAGTAAATTTAGCTACTGAGCGGAGAGATTCGATCCTATGGAGGCTATCAGAGCGGTGTAAAGTGGCAGAATCTGATTATGTCCTCAGGCTTGAAGGTGTCAAGACTTGTTGCCTTAAAAGCAGCTTCATGTTATAAGGTTGCAATGATGATGACATTCAGTCGGTCATTTTAATTTTGGCTCATGCTATTCCAAGTACCATGGCAGAAGACTTTGTCTCTTATGGCAATTCAGAGGAATTGCGAGCTAAAAGTATATGATTGTTGACTATTACTCGTCAAGCAGAATAAGTCAGCCTCGCCTTGCCATGCGCTGCACGATGGAGCTCGAACTGAATGGAATACATGAGCCGAGCGACAAAATGTCGTCTTACTATTCAAATCGCTTTCTCAGCAAAGGAGGATAGCCCCAATTGGCCATGTTGAATGATAAGAGTTATTGAAGCTGTTTTGCTCATTCTTAGTAGATCTGATTCGAATCTATAGTAGTGTTATCTGATGGTTCTCACACGGATTTCTGCCTGAGCCACTCTTCAGAGTCAACTCGATCTGTGGTTGAGATCTTGAGAGATCCAGGGGACTTCTCCTCTGAATCATCTCAGCTGTGATTCATGATGGCGTCGATGTGTCAAGGGCTGACTGTAATTGTGCTGCAACTGCTTCACACTTGCAAGTCTCGAAACATCAAGATCAGAACTTAGCAGCCATGGCAGATACGAGCGCTTTTCATCAGGGAGAGGCATCGTACAAGGTCGAGGGAAATCCAGCATCTCAGGAGATCCAGTCAGATAAACCTTGCAAGCACGACAGTTCAGCTCGGCGTTCATGCTGCAACCTCAGGGGATGGCCCCGTGCGATAAAGATCCTCGTCTCTGTTGCAGTGGGTGGTGCAGTTCTAGCTGGAGTCATAGTTGGCGCTGTCCTAGGAACGAGGGATACTCGATATCCAGATTATTTACCTCTTGACTATTTCCTGGTGGATGAGTACTACCCATCCTCCTTCTTTGATCACTTCTGGCACTTTACAGACGAGGACCCTACCTATGGATTCGTCGAGTAAGTAACCGACCTTAGGCCATCTTGCATTGAGCTCGCGCTCACAATCTACAGGTATGTCGATCGCAAACAAGCAGAGTCCCTCAGCTTGATACAATCTACAGATTCCTCTGTAAGTATCAGAGTCGATAACAAAACCCGCTACGCACCTCGAGGCAGAAAGTCCGTCCGACTCGAGTCCAAGAAAGGCTACGACACGGGACTATTCATCTTCGACATCATCCACACACCCTACGGCTGCGGAACGTGGCCCGCCCTGTGGCTAGCGGATACATACAACTGGCCGCTCAACGGGGAAATTGACATCCTTGAAACAACAAACAGAGCTACAGAGGGCAACGTGGTCACCCTGCACACCGAGAAGGGCTGCAGCGTCGAGGGAAGACGGAAGCAGCTGGGGAGCGCGCTGCACTCAACCTGCGACGATAAGCACGGGAACGCGGGGTGTGGTGTCCGGGGTCGCCCGGCGACGTATGGCGAGGAGTTCAACGAGAACGGCGGTGGTGTATGGTTCCTGTCCTCTGCCTCTAAGATCAAAATACTGACCTGAGTCCTAGGTGTACGCGGTCGAACTCCGACAAGCAGGAATCCGAGTCTGGGTTTTCCCTCGCGACTCCATCCCAGACGACATCTCGAATACGGAGCGCAAGCCTGACCCGTCTTCTTGGGGAACGGCTCTGGCTGACTTCCCCAACACACACTGTGACATTCCCTCTCACTTTAGCAACCAGAGCATCATCGTCAACATCGATCTGTGCGGCGAGATGGGTGCCCAACGGGAGGACTACAAGGGTTTGTACGATTGTCCGGCAACATGTGAGGAGTTTGTGGCTCGCAACCCGCAGAATTTCTCGCAGGCTTATTGGGAGTTTGGGAGTTTTCGGATCTATCAGACGATGTGAAGGATATTTCTGTAATTGATTTCACTCTGACTGGCTTATACTTTCGTGGGGGTTGATGAGTTTTCAGGTATATTCGATGACTTATGTGACTGGCTAGGGGGATCTTGCTATTTATATGAACTTGCGAGGATCATATTGCTAATTGTCTGCCCTTTCTGGCTCATGTTTGACGCAATTGATACCATACCCGTGATTGATTTATTCCTCTACTTCATTGCTGCTGAGAGTCTATAGCGTAGTACATACTAGTGTGAGTGCTAGTATGAAAGTTTATCGCAGAGTAAGATGAGGGTTACCCGAATAAACCTAATGACAGGAGAAATTGCGAAAATCACGCAAATCTTATTGACAACTCGCCATGACGTGATCTAGGACGATTTACAGAGCGGTCCAATATGTCCATGTTGCCAACTTGCGGCAAGTCCTCGATCCCAGCGGATTTGAGTGACAAACCGACAATGAGGTCTGTCCAGGATCAAGCGGGAGATTGACCAGTCGCCAGGCACCGGAGATGCCAGAACCCCAAGCTGGCCTCAGACCCGGCATTCTGTTACTTAAGATTATTGCCGGCCGCATGGTTCTAGTCCCTTCTGATCTTCAGGCTTTAGGTAATGACCTGACGAGTCCAACTCCGGTGGATGATGCAAGGGGAAAGAAATGCCGCATACTGGAGATGCTTATGCAGTTTCGTACAACTGGGACACTGGATGCCGATGTGATGTGCTTGCTTGGTGCTACACACATTGCAAACTGATCGGTGTAGGACGAGGAGGTGATTTTGTTGGAAGGTGATCACCGAGTCCAGAGATCAGAAAGCAAGGTTGTTATGCCGTTGTCCGTTGAAGTTTAAGGAAGAGGGGTTTCACCGACCCCAAGGCCCCAAACAGTGAAACGGTAGACTACCTCAAAATACAGCACGGAGGAATTAAATGTAGACGAAAAAGGCATCTGCCAAAAGGAATTGTGACTTGGTTGAGAATCATGGTTTCCAACCCCTTACAACCCCATAACACACACTTCTGCTGGTGGGATCACGGGAAGATATCACGGGATGCTGATTGCTGATGGTGCCAGCCTGGCAGTTAGGTAGTGAGCCACGCTGGGCTGGGGATGGAAAATCCGGGGAAGACAATTTCCTGTTTCATCTTGTCAGGCTGGGCTGGAGGAGCCTCGGATGGCTCAGTTTGACTTGAACGGACCGGCCATTCGCCGGTTAGGCGATCCGGTTACTCGGCGAGAACCACCAGTAATAATAATACAGTCGTTCGTGAGATGATGACCGGAGGTACTCTGTAAAGGAAAAGTAGAAGGCCGGTTTGCATGTTGGAGTCGCAGAAAATTTACTCCCCCTCAATAAAATTGATTGGTCAAGAGCAAGTGGGTTACAGGGGAGAAAATAGAACAAGAAAAACCAAAGGAGAAGGAGAAAAAAATTTTCCCTCTCCTGCGTCATTTCTTGAGATCCACATCTGCAGTCCAGGCTGTCCCGGTCTGGGGAAAGCTGTCCTATTTGAGCCTAGTGTCTGCTCTCCTGTCGATTTGCGGTCAAGCCTGTCAAGGCGCACCTGGGATGTGATTCTCTACCACAGTATATGTGAGGTAGACAGAAAAGCCTGGGTATGGTTGAGGTAGCAATTATGACGGTATCAGTTTTGACATGACATCTTGTGTAGAATATTCGATGAGGGAATAGTTGGTAGAATCCGAGGATGAGAAGATTCTATGACTCTTCGTCCTTGAATGATCGCCCCCTGACTCGATCTTGGCGCTAGACCCAACAAAGGCTAGTCGGATCTACGAATGCCAAGCAATACAAATTCGCGTACTAGTAGTTCTAGTCTACTCGTCAGACCCCAAGACATCACTATTGAAGATTCATCTCCTGAGTCTCAGTTATGGGATTAATTATTGTCTGCCATAAAAATAGTGCTATGATAGTAGATCCAAGACCAAGTACTCATTCCCAGAAAGGGGTATGGAGATATTCTGCAGCCTGCTATGGTGACACGGAGTCCTCAGTAACGGTACCTTAGTTTCTGGGACCAAAATGATGCAATTGTACATGCTTGGTGGTACATGCGGGGTTTTTCTCATTGTTTCTTTTCCCCTTGTTTGCTCTTTTTTACGCTCAGACAGACAAACAACCAACCATATCCATAGTTCAATAACAATGGACCATGATACATTCCTCCATACTCCGTAGAGTCCGTATGCAGATGGGTGAGGAATGATTGCTTGAGATTCGACATGCAGCATTCTGCGATCTGTCCAAATAAAGATGCCACGAGACTACCTTAATTTGGATCTTGCCGCATGATTCAGCCTCCAGGAACTGCGACACAATAGCACACAGCGATCTGAAGCATCGACGGAGACGGTGAGGTGAGGTGTTCGCCCTTGGAAACGGGCGCGACAGACATCGTCATGCTACCATGTCTAGAACCATCTGCTCTCCTCATCATGACAGCTGGACTGCTTCGGTAGCATTTTAGGAAAGAGGCGACTGCTCAACCGACTCGTGACTAACCATCCAGCAATTTCCATTACCCCCAGAAAATTCAAAGAGTGGATATGATTGGCTCCTGAGCCAGTTTCTGTTACGT